TTTAGAACACAAAAGCCCTTTATAATGATGACATCAAGCAGAGTCCTATAATCTATTACCCTGGGATATATTTCTGCAAGAAATAATTAATCTTTCAAATGACCCTTAGAAATGTGAAATCTGAAATTTGTACCTTGATAGGATTCCAAATGGCCATAGATCTGTTTCCAGTTCTGAATGAAGTGAGAATATCTGTAGACTCTGCTCCTCCTATTGCTATCCTTGTGATTTTGGAAAAATAACACGGCTTCTGTGGGTTTTAATTTCTAGATCAATTTTAAAAGGGTGAAAACCAGTTTTTAGCTAACTACTCCAATAGATTGAACATATGCACTTTTAAATCATTGAATATACACATAAATAAATAAATAATAAAAACATAAGCTCACAAAGATGAAGAAAACGGGAGTACAGTAGGAAAGGTTCCAGCAAATACATGGAGACAGAGAAAGTGATGAATGCGTGGCCTCTGATTCTGCAGAGTGGAGTAGGTAGAAATGGAAATGCATGTGGAGAGGGCACCAATAGAGTGCAGGTGCATTCTCCTTAACAATGGCACAGCAGCTGTCAGTTCCTTAAGATGGGGGTGAGTGATGGAGCTGAAAATAGAACTGCCTTGATGTTGTACAGGAGCAGTCGAATCTTTCCAGCCTATCACATGGCCACTTAGCTATCCCTCTTTCCCACCAGGCAGACATGGGTGGGATCTCCTCTGGAGAAATGTAACCAGAAAAGCTGCAAGCTTGAAACACTAAAGGGCAGCAGTACTTGGTTTCTTGCTAGAAACCAAGAGATTAGATACAACCTACGAAATTGGTGTTAAATTACTTACTCCATCCTCTACTCTTCTTTCATTTCCAAGTCCTGGCCACTAAATTTAAAGACCAGTTTTTCTTCACTAGACAAAGACAAAAAGACAAAAGATATGGCCATTTAAGTAATTTTCCCCAAACAGCTTGATTCCTTCTAAAGCACATTTCAATGCCTCATTCTTAAATATAAATGAAACACCCAGTATACTGTACAGGTGAAGAATAATTCCAGTAGAAAACAACAACAACAATAACAACAACAACAAAGGAAAGTAGATGAAAAAATAAGAGCCTCCCCCCCAAACTAAAGTAATTTAAAGGCCAAAGAAAAATTTTTGTTTATGATAATTAAGAAGAGGATACTCTTTAAAAAGTTGTACAAACAAGAAAGAGTTCCTAGACAATTATATCTATACATGGTTTATATTTGAATGTCCCCTCAAGTGGGGCTTGTAGGTGTGGCTTTTGGAAGGTAATTGGATTACGGAGGTTATAGCTGACCTGCTGTTAGGAGAGGATCTGGTCAGAAGAGATGGGTCATGGGGGGTGTGGCCTGGGAGGGTTTATCTCCCTCCTCAGTTCCTCCCCTCACTCTCTCCCTCCCCTCAGCCTTGTGGTGAGCAGCTTTCCTCTGCCCAGGCTCTCCTGCCATGTTGATAATGTTAGAGCCACAGAACCATGCAAAGACTGACACTTCTAAAATGTGAGCCAAAATGAACCTCTCCTCCTTCAAGTTATGAGTGTCTGGTTTTGTCTCAGCAACAAGAAAGTAACTAAGATTTTATATATTTATATGTATATATAAATTATTTAAAGATTACTAGAAGATTAATGGATTAATAGAAGAGTAATAAAGATTAACAAAAAAATGGAATTCATGAGTTGAGCACATTTTCCTGAAAGCAGAGCTAAAATACAAATACATGAAAAGCAATAGAGAGAGAGAAAAAAATTAGAGGAACAAACGAGGCAGCACAATATCTGCTTAGGTGAAATTTCAAAAATAAATCATAAATAAAATAATAGTGGTGTTTGGGAATGGTATCGAAGTCAAAACACAGGCTATAATTTCAGATTGAAAGGTCCCATGCATGTCTAGCACAGTGAATAAGACAGGACTTCATCTTCATGCAGTTGGTGCAGAGCTGAGGAGGAGGAGGGAAAATTGATTTAACACAATGGATTGTGTATCAGATTAACACTGGACTTTTCAGGAATGAATTGGAAGCTAGAAGATACAATGACTTCAATGACTTCCAAATGCTGAGGGGAAATTTTTTCTGGCTTGGTAGATTCGATCTATACAAACCAATGTAAATGCACAATAAACTCATTTTCATACAGGCAAGGCCTCAAAATTTTTATTATTCATATATTCTTTCTTATCGAGGTAACAGAATGATTTCTTAGTGGAGTACATAAAAAGGAAGGCAAACATGTAAGACAGAAGATCAACATGGGCGAAAGAAAAAAGGTTAATGACTGAAGGGAATGAATCTCAAGATAGCAATTTACAGGGAAACACACTGACCAGCTCAAACAGCACAGCCCGCAGGACCATCCAGCCTGTGGCTTGCAGGTTGAACACACCTAGGGTATAATAAAAAAATATTAAAAAATCACAGTTAACTATATTATTTGTTTTTTATGTAGCTCAAGACAGTTGCTCCACACTCAGGGTGGCCCAGACAAGTCAGTCACATCAAGTTCACAGCCACAGGACATCCTGTGCCCAATATACACTGGACCAGGAGGACAAAGTCTCTGAAATAGAGCAACAGACATGTTGGATTCCGATGTGCATGACTTCTGAGTGGTGATTTTTATAGTTTTGTACAAAATTTGAAGAAGAATTAGTGATAGGAACACAAGTTAAATAAAAGGATTCAAAACAAATAGTAGGAGGAGAGAGAAAACAAGGTAGAGGGAGAGGGAGGGAGGGAGAGAAAGAGACAGAGAGAGAGAGAGAGGGAGAGCAATGATCATTAACTTACAGAAAAATAAAATACAAGTGGTATATCCATGGCTTATTATGTGGCTCAGCCGTGGAAAATACGGGCTAAAAAGCATGTAAGCACTGAATGTCGGGAAGGTGGTGAACAGGAGATGTGAGAGCGCCGGTTGGAATGATTGGCAGATTGTGTTTTGCAAACATGACCCCGTCAGGTCAGTGCTGCCTGCTCACATGCTCCTCTGCTATGTGCCCTTGCCAATCTGTCATCAAGAGAGTGAGTGTCCATTTGCTCTGCTGTTGAATCTGGACTAAACTTAAGGCCTAATTCTTACCAACAGAATGAGTGGAGGTGACATAAAGCGACTTCCAAGGCTGGGTTAGAAAAGGCTGTGTGATTTATGTCTGGTTCTCTTTGAACCCTGGATTTTCCAGCTCCATCTGTAAGTAGACTTTATACAGATGAAGTCTGTTTATGCTTAGAGACCACGTAGGGCTGCTCTGGCCTCAGCTATTCCAACCTCTGCAGCCTGAGTCACATAACATGCATGTCAGATTTGTGAGTGCAGAAGTCCTCAAGGAAGCGCCACACTCAGGCTCAGTGTGACTGTCATCACATGAGGACCTAGCTAGAAGAGCTGGCCACACCCAGGCCAGCCTAGGCAAGCCATAGAGCTGTGGGAAATAGGTATAACTGATTGTTGTCTGATTTTATAAAGCAATAGGTGAACTAAACAAGTGCTAAATCCTTTATTTCTCAGAGATGGAAGTAAAAAGCATTATAAAGTAAAGATGAAATAGATGTACAACCAATAGCTTTTGGAAAACTGGTTGTAAATGAAAAAAATATGAGAAAAAACAAGCCTAAGACAAAAACATAGTAAGTACTTCTAAAGAATAAGATTTATAGGGTAAGGTCAGTCACTGACTGAATGTAGTAGCTTCACACTGAGCTCCATCCCCAGCTCTGGGTAGTTTTTATTTTGAGCAGGGTCTACTAAGTGCTAAGTTGCCCAGGATGGGCTTGAACCTGTGATTCTCTTTCCTTAGCCTCCCAGGGCACTGGGATCACAGGCATGTGTCACCACGTCACCACATCCAGCTAGGTCCCACTGTTTAGAGCTCTGTCTAAGGAGCCATTCAACCTTTAAAGTTAAATACTCTTGTCTATGTAATAAAAATAAAATTAAATTAAAAACAAGAAAACGGGAGGCATCTACCCTATCTAGGAACCAGACAGTGTGAGTGCAGGATTTGCTAGAGTTAATAAACATGACCACACTTTGAAGACTCTAAAATATTGTTAATATGCCACAGTTTACCTACTCGTACTTTCTAATTTTCCATCCTGCTTTCAATGGTATTATTCAAGAAAAGTTTGAGAAGAACTCAGTTCAACTTATGATAAAAACATTGTTTCTAAAACCTGTTTTATATGAGTGCACAAGCCCTTACCTAATTTGGTCCTCATTTTCTTAATTTAGTAACAAAGGAGTGAATGGGGGCAAACTTTTACACTGATGTCACTTGCAAAATGTTCCATTATATAGCGACTCTTGAGCTCTACCTTAAAGCTCACAATTACCAAGTTCTCTGCTAGACTGAATATGATTAAAGGGAGCAGGTCTCAAAATTTTGCTCTTAAGAGTGCTTTGTACTTTTTAAAGGATTGAAAACCCTCAGATATAACTTTTGTTTATATCAGTTGTAGCCTTGGATAATTGAAATAAAAATTAGAAATAAAAAAGGTGAAAAAATAGAAATCAATTAGAATAAAAATTGAGAAAATTTAAATATTTAACTTATTTAAAAGCAATAAGACATTAATTATAAGTTAACATAGTTTGTGCAGAATAATCACCTTCCTAATTGGGAAATTTTAGTGAGAAGAGTAGGGTCATTGTACATATTTGAAGTTACTGTTTGGCTTAATGACAATGGCTGTGCTAAATGTGCTTCGGTGTTCAATCCACTGCAATAGTGTACATTAGGTAACCTCTGGAAAACTCTGCTAAGCACTTGTGACAGAATGAGAAAGAAGGCAAATCATACTATGATATCCCCATAAAAATAGTTTAACTTCACTGATCCCAGGAAAGAGTCCTGAGGACCCCCCCCCCCCACATTTGACATTACAATCCCTGGCTCATGACATCAAAATGCAAAGACTTGGAGCAACTCACAGAATTCTCTTTTAAAAAGCCAATCAGTCTTCCAAAAGTGAGTGGATAATGGATCAGAGATGAGCCATTTTCCTTTGTTTAAAAACAATGAGTAGAATAGGGTGTATCGATGACCTCATAGATGCAGCAGTGTGATGGGGAGAACTTTGCCTCTGGAATCAGACTGCACCAGCCCAAGTCCTACTTCCATTCTCTATCATTTGTCCCAGCTTGAGTGAGTCAGTCTTCTGTGTTTCCAGAGTTTGATCAGGGTTAGAGGCATTATTCTCAACATGTAGAATATTGGTGTATGGTCAGTCCCCACATGCATTTGTATAATAACATGAACTTCTTCAGGGAAAAAAAAAATCAAATCACCCAGGGCAAAGGGGCTGTGTTTTCTCCAAGCTGGGTCCTCACTGGTCACATGACCTTGGGGACTTAGCTACTGACTTCCCCTTTTTCTGAGGGTCCTTCCTCAAGGCTGTTGGGAATCACAGTGGAGATGCCATTTGTGAAAACATTTTAGAATAGTTAAGTGCTATGCTGCTCTGCTCATGTAAAAGGTTGCGCTTGTTCATACTTGCGCCTGTGGGGTGATCTGCTCCATCTAAATGTATGATGATTTTTAAGAACTTCAAATATCCTAGTTCTTCTGGATTTTCTCTGGCTTTGGATATCAGAACTGTTGAGACATTCCTTTCTCTGCCTCTTGGCATTTTGATTTTTGTTTTCCAAGTAGTGCTCCTTTCCAAAGTGACCTCATTAGCCAGCTTTTTGGTATATGATTTGTTTTTCACATCATGTAACATTTGCTGAGTTTATTAGTCCCTGGGGCTTCCCAGGACAGAAAGGGGAGAGAGAGCAAAAACTCAAGAAATATGATTATGAGTACATTTGTTCACTAAAGCAGAAGATGGTTGTATTTCAGATCCAAAGCTTTGCTGGGAGGAGGGAAGAGAGCAAAGAGCACAGGAGCCTGTGCTGGCCATTGGGCACTGTGGTCAGGGAGGTTCCAGCAAGATGGAAGGAAGAGCAGCCTTGGAAGACAGGGCCATTGCTTCAGCTCAGAGCTGAGGGAGTTGGAGCAGGTACGGCAACTAAGTCTTCAGTGTGATACAGCTAATGTCAGCCCTCAAGCAGGGCTACCAATGGATTTAGTTTGCTCAAACTGTAGCCAGGAGTTAAAATTCTTTAATGACTCAGTATGGCCACAAACTTTTCAAATAACAAGGCCTACTACTTTCTCTACACCCCTGTCCCCACCTTGGAACCAACAGGTAGTTCCCCAAATCAGCTGTCCTCTTTCACTTTTTTTCCCTTTGCACATGTTAGATGGGGTGTCTCAGTCTAATATCCACCTTTTTATGCCTGGAAAACTCATTTTTCCTTTAGTACTCATGCCAGCCACTAGCTACTCTGGGACACTGTGAGAAAACATAGATACTCTGTATTGGTCTATTTATAGCATCTCGAATTGAAGCTCCTAGGACACTTATTCATAAATGTTGGATTGACATGACCATCTTTGTCCTAGATATAGAGATTTTTATGGGCAAGGATTTTCACTGAAATGTACGTACCACCTCTGAAAGCTTGAGATCTTTCATAGTTAATATTGGAATATCAACAGATGTTTGTAGAATGAATGCATGAAATATGCAGAATTGTAACACATCTGGAGTTCTGTAGGGCAAAATACTGAACTAATGTGTTAGTCACTTTCCTAGTTCTGGGACAAAATACCCAACACCTATAATTTAAAGAAGGAGAGGTTTATTTTGGTTCATCATTTCAGTGGACAGAGTCCATGGTCAGCCAGAGCTTAGGGAGAAATGGCATGGCAGAGGAAAGCTGCTCACCTCATTGGGGCCAGGAAGCAGAGAGAGAAGGGAGGAGTCAGGATGAGAATATACCCTTCCAAGTCATATCCCTAGGGACCTAGCCCTTCCAGCTAGGCCCCCACCTCCAAATATGAGACCTACCATAACTGCCATTTGAATCTACCTTCATTGCATCTTGATAATCAGGATGAATGTGAAACACAGGCAAGTGAAGTGGTGGGAGCTATATCAGTGAGTGTGAAATTCAACTTCTTCCAAAACTGTTGCATAGGAGGGTGGTGGGAGGAAGGCTGGTCAGAGGATATTGCCATTCGAAGGCCCTGTCCAGCCAGCACTGTTTGAAATGTCATAAACATGCTGATTTCACTCAGCGTTCAAGGGGCCATATGGTGCTGTGGATGGAGCTCTAGCTGTGGGCAGCATACAGAATTGTTTCTGCCACGAAATGGAAGCCTAATTTTAGACAAATTATATAACTACATCTAATCCCACTTTTCTATTTTTAAAGCAGGTCTAAAAATTGTTAAGTCAGTGAAGAGTTTTTAAAAATTCAAGATGATAGATTTTGTAGTTTTCTGTGTTCCAATTTCAGTTCAGCCACAGAAGTCCTAGGGCAGTCTGTTTTCCTCTCTTTAATCGAGGACAAAAATAAGACCTAGATGGATGTAAACACTGTCTGAGTGAAAGCACATAAAATGCCTCCCATAATGCCTGGCGTAAGAGCTTAACAAAAGCAAGCTAATATTTCTATTAGAGATTTTCTGGGCAAAGCACCCAGCACATAGCAGAAGCTCATCTTGTTATCTCCCTTCCCCTTCAATATGTGGGCGTGGTACTATCAAATTGGCTGAGCCCTATCACAGAGTGGCCAATTACTTTTATAAATGTTGGGTAAATTTATTGTATGAAAATATGATCTTCCTCCCTTTTCCTGCCATACTGTTTCCTTCCTTCCTGACTTCCATCCTGACTTCCTGCTGCCTTGCCTACCAGTCTTCCTGCCTTTTTCCTTCCTTCCTTCCTTCTTCCTTTCTCCTTTCCTTCTTCCCCTTCCTTCCTTCCTTCCTTCCTTCCTTCCTTCCTTCCTTCCTTCCTAATTGAGGGAATTTGAAACTGTATAGGCTTCTGCCCTTTTCAAACATATGCTGGGCTTCACACAGTCCAGGAATCTTGCTCTTTTCTTGGTAGATTTCCTATGCAGCCTTAGGGTAATAAAGCCAAGGCTAAGAGCTGTTTTCTCTGTGTTAAATTATTGTACATTTTCTCCCCAGAAAACAAACTGAAGTTCTGTGCTGAGGAGGGTCAGCATCAGAGACTTGCTCCTGCTAGCCCGTGACTCCAATGAGAAATCATCAAGCACACTTCCACACTGGTGTCTGGGAGAAAAACACACTGGAACTGACAAAACCTAGTGTAACTAAAAATAGAATTACAAGCTTTTAATCTGTATTGAAAAAGTACGTGGCAGGAATGGCTGGAGCCTGGAAGAGGGAGAGAAGAGAGGAGCCAATATTTCCTGCTCAGCTGGAGCTTCTGCCTCATTTTCAATGAACAATGAAATGCTGACTACTGAGACCTCCGCTGACTACTGAGAGCTGCCTGTGGCTTTGGGGCTTAGGTGGATTCTCAACGTTATCTAAAGCCAAATGAACTCTTATACCCTGTGGCCTGTGGAGGCCGGAAGAGGACCTCTCTTCTGCAGTGTGGGAGGACTTCAAGCCTGGGGGATTGAAGTGGAGTACAGCAGCGTTAGCCTTGGTGGCTTGCAGCTGCAGAGCAGCTAGAGCACCTTATGCAGGCCTGGCAGCCTCTCCCTGGCTTCCAAGAATTGAATGTGAACAGCTGCTGTGTTCCCAGGGACAGATTTTTAAAAGATCTCCAAAAATTCTATCTTTGGTTTTTTACTGTGCTGTAGCTTGATGTTTGCTTCAAATTCCAGAAACATTGACAAGGGAGAACTGCCCTTCTGTAAACTATTATAGCTGTAGTAAGATACACTGAGATTTAGAAATAATTTCAAATTTGGACAGGCTTATTGAAGTTGTCAGAAATGGGATCTTTATAAATGTTAGGATAGACTCTGAGACTGATAAGTAAGATTTAAATAATCAAAAGCACAGACCTATGCTTAAGAGGAAGCCAGTTGTGTGGTATTACTAATCCATCAAACTTTGAATGCTTCTCAAGCCATAGATATCATTATGCTTACTGCATTTATCACAGTAAGGAGACCTCTGCATTTGGAGAAAGTTACAAATTTTTGTGCAGATAAGTATAGGCTTTTGCTAAGAGGGATACTGTCAACACTTTGAGAATTAAATCCTCATAATTAGAAAAAATTGAAAATAAATAGTATTGTTGAGTTATCCAATCGCAGGAGTTCTTCAGTGGGGTTTCCTTTTAATTGCAATATATCTTTCAAATCATCTTCTTTATAGACCCAGCAGAACAATTCTCCCTATTTAAGATATTTTAAAAATCATGGATGAAGACATAAAATTCTGCCTGACAGTTTTCATTTCACCTGGTTATGGGATCAGTTCTGTCACTACCTGTACAGTTACTATGTGGTCCCTTTTCCTCTCTGCATAGTGTGACAAGTGAATTTGGTCAGGATTAGACTGGGTAGTTAATTGATTTTCTTCCACCTCAAAAATAGCAACAGCAAAAAGCTTTGTAAAGAGGTCCAGTTCTCAAACACCAGTAAAAAGTGATCTGCTCATTGAATCCCAATATACTTTGTACTCCAAGACTATTTTTTTGATCCAAATGGGGGAATGAGACAGTGCTTTGTTGAGTATTTATGAATTAGTCACAATCTTAGTAGGAACAGCTGGAGTGTTTGAATAGACACATTTAAGAGAGCATAGGAGAGATAACCATACACATAGGGATGGGTGGGATTAAAAGACAACGATATGGTAAAGTGAACACCTCAAACAATCAACATTAGGAACTGTTACTGGGATTGACTAATAAGAGGGCAGCATGATTACCACCAGCTAGAGAGAGGTCTGTAACATTGGAATTGGAAAAGGACAGTGGGCAAGTGCCATGATTTTGAGAGAAGAGACAGAGCCATTGTTAATCCATGGGCCCACAAAAAAGGAGCCAAAGGAATACCTTATCCTCCTTCCTCTCTCTTACCTACTGTTTGTTCCTCTTATTCGTCAAATAAGACCCAAAGTAAGTGAACAGGGAGCCTATGGATATGGTCAATGTTACCTAGGGTCAATGTTAGCTTGGGGGGGCAGGGGTATGGGTAGATTTGCTGTAAGGAATTGGCTCACGTACTTGTAAGTACCGGTGAATCTTAACCCTAGAACTTGGCAAGCTGCAGGTACAGTGAACAGTTCTGGATGTGAGATTGAGTCTGAAAGCAATCATAAGGCATAATTCTTTCCTTCTCAAGGAATCTCAGGCTTCTATCAGATTGAATGAAGCCCATGCTCATTGGTGAGAGTAATGGGTATTACTTAATATCTACTAGTTGAAGTGTTAATCACATCTAAAAAATACCTTCATTCACTACCACATCTAGATTAATATTTGATCAAACAAGTAGCCAACATACTTTACCCAAGTTTGTACATAAAATTGGCCATGGCAGTGTCCACATAAATCAGCCTTCAGAGGTACAGAGGACTAGAAAAGGTTGAGAGGGGAATCTGTGGGGAGGGGATGCAAACAGAATACTCAGCCACCTATTAGACTTCCATTTGCCTTCCGTGCCTCCTAACAGTAGGAAGCAGGAGTATCTTGCATAAATGCCCAGCCCCATACTTGACACAGGATGCAGCAAATTCCTCAAGAGCATTGTCTGAATCGACTTGAATGCTATAGGAGCAAGTTCTGAAAACAAGTGCTTAGTGAGGTGGCCCTGGGGAGGAGCAATATCTCAGAAGCAATTTGCAAAGAAAAAGTAAATACCATCACAATTTTCTATCATCTTTTGAGCATAGGGCAATGCACCACATCAAATTAATCAGAATCGATCATATCTGCTAAGTTTTAAGACCAGATGACATTTCCAAGCTCCACTTTATGCCTTATTAATAGAATAAATTTAGTCATTGAACTGGATGATCTTCTCTGCTGGCAAAGACTGTAAATTGCTCCCTCTGTGACCATGCAATTATATAAAAGATTGACTGTATTGCTGAGGTATGATGGAAGTCATTCATCAGGTAAATAATCTTGAAAACAATCTAGTCTTAATGGTGCACACCTGCTAGGAAAGTGGTGCCAGATTTACTCCTAACAAAGAAATGGACTGGGAATCAGAATGTATCTTCCCTGCCTCATGGCAGTGAGGCTAGAATGCAAATGGTAAATGGTTGAAAAGGCCCCAATAAAGTGCACCCTGGTTTATTTGACACATGCTTTTTGAAGTCTCTGAAATAGTTTTCTAAAAAGCTACCGAGATATCACCCTCTGAGAAATCACTTTTTTGACCAGCTCATTTTCGTCATTCTAAAATCAAGAGCAGGACTGCAATAAAGACGGAGCGGATGATGGGTGTCCAGGGATGCAGAATGGTACTTGCAAGGCCACTCTGCCACCAAGGAACTTGGAAGCGATTGATCAAAATGCCCGTTTGGCTTTGTGTGTCAGTTGGCTCTGATAAGGACCTTCTTCTTTCTATTTCTGTCAGGATTGGCAAATCCTTTAAGTGGAAAATCAGCAATGAAGCATCTGCGAATGAAATTAAAGAAATGTGTAAGATGTTTCATGTAGGCATGGGGAGTACTGCTAAAAATTTTGGGGGGGGACGTGCAGGACAATGAGGATAATGAGGGGTGTAAATGGTCAAAGTATGTTATGTGCATGTCAGACTCTGTTGAAGTGAAACTCATTAATCTGTGTAACCCATAAAAAAGACTGAAAAAGAGTTTTCTTACATGGACAGCCTGAGGCAAAGTGTGAAGTGGCTGAAAGTTGTCACTAGAACATTCTCTTTCTGCCTTTGTCTTGGGTCCTCTTGGAAAGTCATTTTCATCTCCCTAAGCTGCCTCAACACACACACACACACACACACACACACACACACACACACACACCCGCCCCTCTCCTGCAGCTGTCCCAAGTCTTATTCCCACGGAGCCTGAGTTAGCAATTTCTCAACTAAGCAGGGGCCACTGAATTTATCTCAGGGTCTGCAAGGTTTAGAGTAGCACCTATATCAGAGAAGGTGCTTGGTAAATCTTTCATAAGTGAATGAAGCTTTAATAGGGTGCTAGATAAAAGTAGCTCAGGCTCTTCTGAGGCAGAGTGTTTACAGTTTAGTAAGTCATTCTTAAAGGTGGACTTTGTAATGACAGAACTTCTGGCAATGTGATAGGCAGGGCCACAAGGTGACAGCTGTTTTTACCTGGCTCTGATGAAATTGCATTCTCTACGGACTACTGTTTGTAGGCAGAAGGCACTTGAGGCTTTTCTAGTGTTCTGCTTCTCTCTCAGTCAGGAGCACCAAGTCACAGAAACCTGCCATGGCAGGCGGCTTCTTCTCTGCTCCAGAACACACCACAGGAAGGAGGTAACTGGTTCTCCAGTCCTCTGAGCAAAGCAGGTGCTGAGATGGCTGAGGACTTCTCTGGCCCTTTGCCTCTGTCACCATATGTGCTTAGTCATTTTTTCTCTCCTGAGTTATCTGTTTCACGAAGCTGACTCCATCTCTGTGATGTTAGCGAATGTCTTTAGTTCCCATCAGTACCTAGAGGAGTATTTGCACATAAAAATTGTTCATTTTATTTTACATTGTATTTGCCTGACTGATTTCAACTTGCTGTTTAGGGACTACAAATCCTCAAACCTCTGAGGTCCCTAAGGAAGTTAATTTTGTATTTTTCCAATCTCTCCCTCTTACTTACTTTCTTTCTTTCTTTCTCTCTTTCTTTTCTCTTTCTTTCTTTTGTCCTTTCTTGTTTGCTTATTTACTTATTTGCTTACATACTTAGAACATCACATATGTTATTTCCACATAACATATTTTCCAATGACTTCTCATACCAAAGGGCAGTTCTTTCCCAACCAATGTGCTGAAAATGGAGACCCATATTCTGAAATGAATACTGACTGTTATCCCAGCCCAAGGATGCTCAGATAGATTTGTAACACAAATCCCTGGTTCTGTTGCCTCTGACCAGGGGCAGCATCGATGGTTAACTCAACTTGCAGTCCAAATGTTATCATTTTCTTTATATTTTATTTGCGGAGAGGAAAACAAAGTTGGAAAGTATTGCTCTTGAGCAGACATCAGCATTTTTTTCTATTAAGGGCCAGATAGTAAACATTTAGGTTTTGCAGGCCATGTTGTCTCTGTTTCAAAGAACCTCTTCTATTGTAGCACTAAAGTGGCAACAGACAATACAAAGGGACATGGTTGTATGGCAACAAACTGTTAAAAAATAGAACAGGTGGCAGCATGGGGATGTGGCCTGGGTGTTCGTTTGCTGACCTCTACTTCACAGTATGAACTTGAATCTCCGTGGTGCAGTTGGTCTCCCCAGAGTCTGAGCCACTGTTCTTCTACCACCTCTCTTGTGTCTGTTCAGTTGCCCTACAACCTTGGGACTCAATCTACTTTGTCTCCAGGCGGAGCTGTGTGTCTTCTGTCTGTTCTGTCTTGGCAATGTGGTCACACATTTTCTTAGTTCTATGTAATAGCATAAGGCCAAATCTGTCTTCTCCGTCGGACTGTGAAGCCCTCCATGGTGGGAACTAAGTCCCAGCTATACCCATTCCATTAAATATTCCACAACACTGGTCACATCTCGGTCCTCAGTGTTCATCACGTAATGAAGGAAGGGAGGGGGGAAGATCTTCTCTAGTTGTACACTATAAGTTTCAAGGTCTCCAAAGAGGTTGGGTGTCAAGGGAAGGGACGGTGAAAAAGAAAGGTGAGTAAAGGTGGAAAACAAATGAGTGGATTTGGAGAGAAAGAGGGGCTAAGGGCAGCAGGAAGTTGTTCCAAAATTAGTGTTCACTGAAAACTACTGAGCCTGCATTATGTTGAAATTACTTGGTGTTATCCCAGATAAACTGGCATCATAAAATATATGCTTTAAGCAGTGAAATAAAAGGTTACTGTGGCAAAAAGCAATTCAGCCATGCATTTGTAGTACCTCTGGAGATCTAGAATTTATGACAAGCAAATGAACCAGAAGTAAATGAATCAAAAGCTATAATAAGGAAGACTGCAAACTACAATTTAGTTAATAATATACCTCAATAATGAAACCTTATAAATTAATTTTTCCTTCTCTCTCTTCTTCTCTCACACTTCA